GGAAAACTTCACCTAGAGAACCAGACCTTATGAGCAGAAAGCATGCTGGCCCCTTTGTCCCGTCCTTGAACAACCGGCTCCACGGTGGCAGCAAGAGCTTTCCAAGGTGGGCTCGGTGGCTACAACCCAGTTCTCAGGTCAGACTCGGGTGGAGAGGTGCCTACTGTGGAGGATATTATTTAGAGTGATTGCAAACAACCCTCTTGTTGATCGGTAGGGTTCAGTCCACAGTCTTAATCAAGGCTTTACTTGGTGTTCTAGACATCTGCAGGCTATTTCGCCCGTGTCACTCTCCTGAGTCACGGTCGGCTTCTGAACATTTTTCTCATACCTGACCTATGTTTTTGTAGGTCGATTAAAGGAAAACGCCTCCGATGTTCGTAGGCTGGGCTTTGTTAGGAAAGCAGAGGCCCAGAGGTCTTTGAGCCAGCAGCTTCATGTGAGGTCTCTGTTTCCTTGACTTCCTCCGCTCTGTTCTCTCATCATCCCCAGTGAGTAGCTTCTTTCCTACTCTTCCCTCCCCAGCCTGCCTTTTATTCATGGAAGTAGAGGTATCAATTCATTTAGCAAATGTTTACTGAGTGTCACTAAGAGCAGGCTCTAGTCCAGGCTCAGGGGATATAGCAGGAAACAGGATAAAAGAGTAGAACCAAAGTCCTTACCATGACCTGCCAGGCCCTCACGATCTGTCCTTGTCACCTCCATGTCCTGGTTTTCTCTCCCTTGGCTTACTCTGTTCTGCGCCCTCCTCTCTGGCCTTCTTGGTGTCCCTTAAGCACACCATCCCTCCGCCGCTGCTGGGCCTTTGCACCAGCTCTCCTCCGTGCTTGCAAGACTCTTCCTGGGGAGAACTGCATGATAATTTGGAGACCGATAATTTGTAGCCCACGCCCTCACCTTCTGGAGGGTTTTACTTAATTGTCCTATTCGCATTGGACCTCCCCTCACATGAAGCAGACACTTCTGACCCTCCAGTCATGTCTGATCATTTTTACCAGCTTTCTTTTTCTCCATTGCACTTTTCACTCTCTGGCTGAGTATATATCAACTAATTATTAGTTTCCTGTCTCCCTCCTTGACAGTCACGCTCCATGAAATCAGTGGCTTTGGTTTGCTGTATCCCCCAATGCCCAGAATAGTACCTGGACAGGCCTTAAGAAATATTCATTGAATGAGGATGAAATGAGTGAAAGAATGTTTGACTTAGTGAATGAATGAAAAGCTGAAGGTTTCTAACCTCAAAGAATTTATAACCTGGTGGGGGGAGACATAAAATAAACAGAATAGCTATAGCTTGTATGGTAGGGCGCTAACCCAGAAGCTTGTAAGTTTGACTGTCAAGGTTCAAGTCCCTGCTCCACTTATTAGCTGCATTTTCAAGGGCAAATTACTTAAGCTCTCTGGACCTCATTTTCTCATCTTTAAAATCAGAATAATCATAATTCCACCCTATAGGATTATTATGGGATTTAAATAAAAAAAAAATTCATATAAAGTGCTTAGCAGAGTATCTGGCATATAACAAGCTTTTGATAATTATTAATTGCTATTATTATTGGATCACTTACCAGAATCAAGTAGAGCCTGAAAAGTCCTTCAGGGTTACCCCCATCCTGGTCTGGGGTTACTGAGACTTTTCCGTTGGGGAGCAAATGATAGAAAGTCACCCCACCAGAAAGACTGTCCCCGGAGACAACTTTATCTCAGGGTTTCTTTGAACCACAAATGCCCCTGAGTCTTCCTTCAAATGCATGTTAAACACTTCATCTGCCCAGATGGGCTCCAAATAATATATCTATCCCTTCTGGAAAAAAACTGTTTCCTGTTTAAATATTAGCAACCAGTTAAACATTATGGTTTTTTTCTTCTTCTTTTTCTAGTAATTTTTAGGCCGCAGTAAATAATTGCTTAAGGCAGTACAGAGAACATCATGTTAAAAGTCATTCTGACAATTTGTGTTTTAATTTAAGTTTTATGAGTTATCATGCAAAGAAGGGCAGCTGCTCATTGGTAAGTCTCCTTAAGAGGTTGAAGCTTTGATCTTAAATCCTGGCGAGGCTTTGCAGAAATTGGAGGTGACGTTGTTGACAGGCTTGTCTGTAGCTATTTTACTGCCATTAATTAAACACACTCAAACACCCTTTATTTACTTCTCTGGAGTAAATGAATTGAACTTGATTTTGGTTTTTGATGAGAAGCTATGAGAGGGTCCAGGAAACATCAAAGAAACACTGTTAATCTCATAAAACGGACTCTCAAATGACCTAGCTTGAACATTAAAGAATTTTTGATTCCAATGCTGGTCTAGCTTCCTTACTGTAAAGCATTAATTCTCCTTAATGATAAGAAAAATTCAAGGGCAATTAATCCCAGTCCATTAAGTTCCAGAGGGTTATAGGCACTTTAATTATATCTCACTTCTAAAGGTCTCCTTTGTAAAATTGCATTTACATTTTTTGCATTTTCATAGTGCTTACACCCTCGAAATTTCTGCTTTAAGATCTTAAAACCTTATTTTTTTGCATTTTAATTTTAGACTTTTTGGAATAATTACGGCTGTCCTAAAACTTCCTTTTGCTCCCGAACCTTTAGAAATGAAGGGCACCGACAGATCAAGACACCTGAATACACATAAAGCCAGATGGTACCTTTGCAGAGACAAATTTGAACCTTGTAGTTGGGAAGTCTGTTTTCATGTCTGCTTAGGGAACCCCACGAAATGACTTATTTGCTCCCAACCAGTGGCCAACGCTATGCCTGTTAGATGGAGCAAAGTTAGAGATGTCTGCACCTGAGCACCTGGACCACGTGCTCTGCCACTCATGCATTATTAACGATGTTTTTCATCGGTCTCCAAATTATCATTAAAAAAAATCAATCTGGTCCTGACTTTGAACCTGTACTCTGATGGCCAGGAGAAATATCCGTGTGATCTCAGTGCATGTCCTGAGGAGATAGTATCAGGTTGATTAACGAGAGAGAACTCCTCTCACCAGTGTAGGCTGCTTTGTCCTTCTTGACACCATCTGACTGTCCTGTGGCATCACATGCTGGGAGAGGAACTGTGAGAGATGTCAGTGCCATCCCAACCAGCACTCAGCTTTGAGTCTGAAAAAGGCAGAGAAAGGGCAGCAGGGTGAGAAGCTAAAGTCAAGACAAGGAATAGGAAGATCCAGAAACTTTTAGTTAGACATCTCTGAAAAGAAAAAATCCCAGGTGCAGTAAAATGCACGTCTTTTCCTGGTAAGAGTTTTTCCTTTTTTATTTCTCTCTCTCATAACTCCCAGTTGGAAGATAAAAGATGCAATATTTCCAGAATAACCAGAGGGAGAATTAATAGACTAACACGAATGTGACAAAAACAAAGATTTTAGTCACTGGCAGTTTATGGATCACGCTCGTCAGATAGGTAGAAGGTACGGTGGCTTTCGGAGAGCCCACTCTTCACTGCGCCCACCTTAACCTTTCCTACTTGAGTCAACCACGAAACCTGTTGCGAGAGAGAGTGAGCAAGTGGCTTACTACGATGGCCAACGAGAGAGCCAGAACTTCCACTTGTTTATTTACTAGGAATCTCATTTCCCATCGCTGCCTTGCTCACATGGGGCTGAGCAAATCTGACCAAATTCTTATCTTGGAAGAGCAAAGGGTATGAAAATCAGATATTATATGATCTGAAAGCCCTCTAAATAGCAGGTGCAGGACAGAGCAAGAGGAACAGGGAGGGCGGAGGCCAGTGGAAAATATTTTCTGGAGGCCAAGAAGTCCATAAGGCTGATGAGCTCGACAAAGGAGCAGGTGGGTGGGAGGAGGGGCAAAGCCTAAGGGCACAAACTGGAACCTACGGACAGGAGATAAGGGGACCAGATGGACTGCATTCGGTCCAACCAGATGGTGGGCTTTTATTTTTAAAAGGATTTGTAAATCCTGGGAACCAGGAACCATAAGGGTAGTGGGACCTTTAATCCCATTAGTAGAAGACAAAAGTGTGCTCTTTAAAAATGTAAACCCACTAATTATAGAATTTCTATTATCAAAGCTTTGGGACAGACTGCCAGCTTGGGAAACTCCAAGGAATCTCTGACTTCTTCTTTGATGGGAAGAGAAACTGCAGAAATAGTCTAGGCATTATAAGTTCATATAAAGACTCCTTCTGAAGAATTTCAAGTAAACTTACTACATGTACATTCTGATCCAAATTAAACATAATATATTTGTATGAAAATAGGCTTGCTTACATACAGAGTTGGAAGAATAGCTAACAGTGTAATTCGGGACCGATCAATTATGTAGTAAATTTTGAGTGTGTAATGAGCCACATTTTAAAGTTTGAAGCACCTATTGCTTTCCAAAATATTGTACGCCTGTGTCCCCCTTCTGTAGTTGCTGTGTCTAGATCAGCCTGACCTCAGAGCACCTTCAGCTGCAATCCTGGTTACCGAGTCATGAGAATTCTGTTCTTCGGTCCTTGTCTCTATCCCACCCTTTGCTTGAGGGTCCAGAATTATTTCCATAACCCTTTTCCAATGGGACTCACCCTCAAAGACATCACAGTCATTAAGCATAGGGTGGAGTTGTTATTTTGTGCTCATGTGTGGCACGGACGTGAAAACTATTCAAGCAGAGTCGCATCTGATGGATACAGCAGAGGGGCAGGAGTATAGGCTTGTGTGCTCGAGAGCTCATGAAAGATGATGTAATATCTGATTTTCCTGCTAAGACGAAAGTCCCGATTCCATTTACAAAATTCAAATGATGTGATGTATTATGAGAAAGTTTTAAGTAGCGTAATTCATTGTGAAATCACTCTTCTGTTTAGAATATACAGATAAACCCATTAAGTCAATATCAACCATACGGTCTCATTTTTTGATGCTGTTTTATAAAGATGTTTTTCCTTAATTACTCCTGAAAAGAGTAACTGTTATTTTGTGGTTGAAATTGAACAGAGTTGCTTTGCAGCATTATTGACTGGGTTTTGTTTGTTTTCATCTGTGAAGGTATGGAAACCTGACAAGTCCAAACTGTGAAGACGATGGAAGCCAAAGTTCATCAGAGTCAAGGACGGTGATCAGGAAGTGAGTCTGTCTCTTCTCTGCATTGCAAGCCCTCAGTTAAGACTTACTCTCTTGAAAGAACGCAGTTTGAATTTTTTTATTCCTTTGGAATGTTGCCATGTTTTTTTTCCCCATTTTACATAAGAGCATAGAATTATTATTATTATTATTATTATTATTATTATTATTATTATTATTTACTATTTAACGTATTCCTTTACTCATCCAGTAAAAATGTATTGAGCACCTACTGTCTGCCAGGCCCTGTGCTAAAGGATACAGCCATGAACAAAATTATTAAGTCCTACCTCTTATGAAGTTGATATTTTAGCAGAGAGAAAGACAAAGAATCCACACGAAATAAAGAATCCACACAAAAAAGGATGAAGGAGGAAAGGGGGCTAGATCCGGGTGGAACGCTTGATTCATGGAGGGTACCAAGAATGGGCTTCTGATCTGGTGACATGGAGCACAGACCTGGATGTGGTGCAGGCTAGGCCTCGTGAATATCCGGGCTTCTGATCCGGTGACACGGAGCACAGACCTGGATGTGGTGCAGGCTAGGCCTCAGACCTGGATGTGGTGCAGGCTAGGCCTCGTGAATATCCGGGGCAAAGAGAATATGGGCAAGGCTACGGCGGGAGGGGAGTGAGCCTGGTACCCAGTGAGCGAAATGGCACTTGCTAGAGGATGAGATTTGTAAGGTAGTCGGGGCCCTAGATTACGTGGGGACCCAAAGGCCTTGAGAAGGGCGTTGAATTTTGTTCTGAGGAAGAAAGAAGCACTTAGGAGGTTTTGAGGAGAACAGTGCTGTGGCCTGATTTGTGTTTTTAAAGGCTTACTTTGGCTCTGCGGAAGATAGTTAATGCTGATGAGAATGATCTCGGAGTCAAGCAGGAAACATCCAGGATGCAGGGGCGGGGCCCCCACGATAGCAGTGCCGTTCTTGTGTAGATGAGCTACAAGTCAGAGTGCCTGAAGCCACTCGTCGTGGCAGATATTTTTTTCAGAACTGAAAGTGTGATCCTATAGAATTTTTAAATCAAAGGATCGACTGATCAGCTTTTTCTTAAGGAGCCAGGGATGTGAAGGTTAGAAAAGTGTCTTTTTAACTCCCAAATTAGGCTTCAGGTCGTCGTATACTCTTCTTGGGTGAGCTATAACTCCAGGAAACCAGACACAACAGTGCAGATAGATATTTGAAGGCCAAGTGTGAGATGTGGTGAGTGGAACAAATACTTTATTCCTAGAGAGTTTGGGGAAGGCTTCTTGGAGGTGACATTCGAGGTCAGCCTTGAAGGATGGTGAAGATTCGGTGGTAGAGCCATCCAGGCAGAAGGAACAGTGGGACCAGATCAGGGACACGCATGTACATGACATTTGGGGAACAGCACAGAATCATTGTGGCTGCTTCACGGTGTGTATGGGTTGGGTGAGTGCAGTTATTGGAGCTGAAGCTAGATTGGTGTTATACCGTGAGTGGCTCTAATTTCTTACAAGAGAATTTGGACTTTCCCTAGTAAGCAGTGGACAGTCAGTCCCAAAAAGCTTGTAGAGGAGGAAAATAATGAGATAGATGATATTGGAGAATAGAATAGACTTAGCGCCTTCTTGCTTAAAATGTGGTCAGTGGACCAGCAGCATCAGCATCACCTGGGGACTAAGAAATGCAGAATCTCAGGCCCCACCTAGACCTAGATTAGAATCTGCATTTTAACAAGATCCTCAAGCGATTGCTGTGCACTTTTGAGAATCATAGAATTAGAGGGGTTTTATTATTGTTAATTTTTGTTATTCATGCAAATTAACTGTGATAATAATTTTTTACAAAGAACTTCTTTATAATGAATATTTTTAAGCATATACGAAAGAAGAGATACTTTAAGAATTGAGTGGCCAGCTTGTCCGATGTAAACTCGACCTGTGACCAGACTCAGAAATGAGCACGTTGTTATCCACGTATTTGGGAATTAAGTCAAATCTAGAGCTTCCATTCAACTAGCCACCTGAATGCTCCGAGGAGAGTTACAGTCTGAAAAATATCCAAGGCTTTTCTGTTTCCCAGGGGGTGTTTTGAGATTAAATAGGTTTCTGGGATTTAGCAGTTAAAGAAAATTAATTTGTACCCTGGATGTGAAGAGTCATGCTCATTGTTTTAAAGGCCCGTTATTATAAAACTTCATTGAAATTCATTGTACACCAGGAGCAGCAGCGTGGGTGAAGCTCCAGGATAAGCTGTTTCACAGGGCTTTACAGTTTGAAGCACAGGAGGCCTTGACAAAGAGCTTCACACAGCACCCCCCTGAGGGGTCCGTCGTCTGGGGACAGTGGTCAATGAATTAGAGCCTCACAATGAATTAGTAGAAAGTTCTTGACCCTTTTCCTCACACCGAGTTGCCTTCTTAAAAAATTAGGCCTGGTGAAAATATGCCACTTCATTTTATAATGGGTCGCTCTGTCCTGCAAATGCTGGAATGCCAAAGTCCCTTCTCCCTGCTGACCTCTGTCTTCCGCTTCCCCCACCATGGTCTTCCTCACGGTTCTCCGCCCCCACTCTGACTGCCTTTATAATTTGTCGTCTCACTACGCTGTTATCTTTCTGCTTTTTTTTTCCTAAAAAAAAAAAAAGATTATTTCTATTATTTCTATGACTAGACGGAGTCCCTGCTTTGTCTTTCTGAGAGCGAAATCAAGGGAGCACCCTCTCCATTCCACATGGAACGTATTGAAAGTGTGTTGAGCACCCCAGAGCTCTGGCATCTGGCTTGTGGCACCGATTGAAGGCTTCCTGGTGACTACAAGATGTGTAGGAGATAAGGCTGTATGGCAGTTCTCAATGGGACGATTTTGCCTTCAGGACATTTGGCAATATCTGGAGAAATTTTGATTTCAACTTGGTGGGGGGATGTTATTGGCATCCAGTAGGTAGAAGCCAAGATTGCTGTGAAATGTTCTATAATGCACAAGACTGTCCTCCATCTCCCACAATAGAGAATTATCTGACTTTAAAGGACAATGGTGCTTATGTAAGAAACACTGCTATATGGTGATGAGGCTGCATCCTCAAGTGAGAACTATCTTTATGAATAAATATATGTAAAAATAGGACTATGCCTATTTGAAAATTTATTTATTGATATCCCTTCTTACGATTAGGTGACTCAAATGCCAGCCTCATGGAAGGTGAAGGGCCCTGGATAAGGAGCCTGGAGAACTCAGATTCAAGCTCCTCCCTGATCACTCTGTCACTTACCAGCCATATGACCTAGTCACTTTACCTCTCTGTTTCACTTTCCTTACTTGAAAATTGAGTGCTTGGAATATATGATCTTTGAGGTTCTTTTAAGTTTAATGATGTCCAGGATAAAATTTATTTAGCTTTCTCTTTACCTTTTTAAAAATAAAAATAAATGTCAAGAAACAGAGATATAGTCCAAATATTATATTGAATATTTGGGAAGTACCCTTGACTGCTTTTTGCTGTTGGAAAGACTATGGAACCAGTTTTGATAAAATAGGAAGAACAAATAGACAGCTTCTTTGACTTGTTATTAATCGTGACCTCACAAGTGCTCACCATGGTCACCGATGAGGAGCTGAGTCAAAGCACCAGATTGTGGGGTAAGGCGAGGGATGGCAAAACGACCTTTGTTTTCCTTTGCTTTGACTCTGTCTTGTGATTTCAGGTGGGAAACAGACGGCAGGAATTCAGTTTCATTCTAAGAAGTAAACATCCTGTTTTAGGGCAGATGCCTTCAGTTTTGGAGAGTTAGGGGTAGGATGGGGGTGGGGGTGGGAAATCGCTGTTGAGTTTAACCGTGGACAGAAAAATGCTCAGCTATTGTTTGGTTCTTCAGTTTTTGCTGTAAGCACAGAGCAAGGCTTACATGTTATACAGGCTCCCGAGTCCTGAGATAACAGTCTTTCCTGTATTTCTAAATATGGATCTAATCGACCTTGCAGAGAATAAAAGGACTTAAAAGAAGGAAAACGTGGAATGACAGATGAACCAGTCAGGATGAAAGATTGGCTTCTGGTGTCTTAGACCACAAGTGACTAGTGTTCTTTATGCATTTCAAAAGAATCAGATTGTACTGTGACTCCCACTTGTAACTCCAGCCCCAAGTGTGCCCAGGTCAGGCTTTGTGCAATATCGAGAAACTTTAAAGTTATCTCGCTAAAACAAGAATTCTTTCCTTTGCAAGGAATTTAACTTCTAAGGCATCTAGATGTTGGAATCTCTGCCATCCAGTGATTTTTTTGATATAATCACTAGACCGATGGCTGTAATAAGGCCTATCATGTTTATTTCTACAATCCCCAAACTTGCCACTGTTCGGAAATCAAGAAACTCATTTTCTGTGACAAAGGAAAACATCTCTGCCCGCATTCTCTAC